AATTCATCGTGGATACGCTTCGAACCAGACAGCGTCCCGTTTCCCTTTAGACACGCGCGCGCAGTTGTACGGTTGCCGATTCCAACCCCTTCCGCTGCCACTTTCGTTAAAAGTCAACGTCATCTTATCCTTTCGGGAAGAGCTGCTGTTTTTTTCCGATTATCTTGCTTTAACTCGCCACGCGCTCTCTACCCTTCCCAATAATAATACCCGTTCTAAGACCAAAGTAATACCCGTGTACCTGATTATGCGAATCGCAGAGAATGATCCCTGGCGAAGGAGCAAAAAACCAATTATCCTCCTTTGACGCGTCGTTCAATCGAACCTGGTCTTGTCGTCGGTGCATACTCTAGAAATACCACTGGTTCGCCGCGGTCTTTCTAATTTCTCGATCCATGTGCACGCGTTATCGAGGTGGTGGTGGTGGTGGTGGTGGTCTGGTTTCGTACGTGCCGCGGCAAGAGGAAGATGGCCAGGAGTGGGAACGAAGGAGAAACGAAACATACCCGGTTGTCTGGATCGTCGGGACATTTTCTTGGTAGCCCCGAAGCAGCAGCAGCAGCAGCAGAGAATCGCGTGTACATACATATATAGGAGGATATGTAGATGTCGCGAGCACGATTCACCAGTAGCGCTCGTAACTGATTGATACGTGACCATTTCGTATCCTCGATTTCACCACGTTCGTTCCGTTCCTCGTTGTCCATCGAGACGTCGAAAAGAGGAGAGACACCGGGGTCAAGCTGGCGGCCTCGAAAGTTGCTGCAGCCACCTCTTGCAAGATGGTCACTCGTGGCCACACTCGGGTAATTCATCGTAGAAAGAAAGTTCACGCGTTGCTCCTTTAACAACTCCTTTATGTTTATCGGTATCGAAGAGTTGTTGTTGTTGTTGTTGTTGTTGTTCGATCTCGTCGATCGCGTGCCGAGCGTGTTCATAGCTTTAACGAGGTTCGATTTATTATTGAATCGACGCGCGAAATCGAGCGATTCGAAGTAACCAGCTCGGTATGCGTCGATCAAAGCCGATCCTGCGTCAGACAAAGCAGATCGTACCGATCGTCCCTAGATTACGCTGCCACGCGCTGGGCCGCGTGTCGATGAAGGTTAGAAAGTGCGATCGGTGGTGTGTAGTTAACGAAAACTGGTTGCGTTTATTGCAGGCAGGGGATGGCGTGGGAGTGTCGAGTAGCGGTGGTCGACTCTCTTCCCGGAGTCGGACCTCGGAGGAGCCCCACATCGGCAAGTACAAACTACTCAAAACGATTGGCAAGGGTAACTTTGCCAAGGTAAAACTTGCCAAGCACGTACCTACCGGGAAAGAAGTGGCTATCAAAATTATCGACAAAACTCAACTGAATCCCGGTAGCCTTCAAAAGGTAAGGGGACACGACGAGTTGGCTTCGTTCCCCCCTCCCCCCGACGACCACGCGACGTGTCTCTGAAACGCTAAACGGCCGCGACGCCTTCCCTCTTGTTACAGTTGTTCCGGGAAGTAAGGATAATGAAGATGCTCGATCATCCGAACATAGTGAAGCTTTTCCAAGTGATCGAGACAGAAAAGACACTGTACCTGGTAATGGAGTATGCTAGCGGGGGCGAAGTGTTCGACTATCTGGTTCTACACGGTCGAATGAAGGAGAAGGAGGCCAGAGCGAAATTCAGGCAGATCGTCTCTGCCGTACAATACTGCCATCAAAAGAAGATCATTCACAGGGACTTGAAGGCGGAGAATTTGTTGCTCGACAGCGAGATGAACATCAAGATCGCCGACTTTGGTTTCAGCAACGAATTCACGCCGGGCAACAAACTGGACACCTTCTGCGGATCACCGCCTTACGCAGCGCCCGAACTTTTTCAGGGTATGCGCACCACCAATTATTCTAACCGACAATTCATCCACCGTTCACCATAGATGATCTCTCTCTCTCTCTCTCTCTCTCGTTCGTTCGATCGTTTAGGGAAAAAGTACGACGGACCGGAGGTAGACGTCTGGTCGTTGGGAGTAATATTGTATACTTTAGTGTCTGGCTCGCTGCCCTTCGACGGTTCGACGCTGAGGGAGCTGAGGGAACGAGTACTCAGAGGAAAATATCGGATTCCGTTTTACATGTCCACAGACTGCGAGAACCTCTTGAAAAAGTTCTTGGTGCTCAACCCGACGAAACGGGCCTCCCTAGAGGTATGCGCTTCAATCTCCTATCGATATACTACACACACACACACACACAATACCAGTCTTATTCTTGCAATTTTCTTAATCGTATTCTCACCACGCTCCTTCTCTCTCTCTCTCTCTCTCTCTCTCTCTCTCTCTCTCTCTCTCATTTTCCAGACTATCATGAAAGACAAATGGATGAATATGGGATACGACGAAGACGAACTAAAACCCTACTTAGAACCTGAACCTGATTATAAAGACCACAAGAGGATAGGTGAGTCTGCCAGTATGTACATAACAACAATTATTACTATTTGTTCTTTCCTTATAAAATGTATACCCTCGCCGACGAAAGTTAAGAAATAGAGCAATTTCACACAGTTTAGTCAATATTTACCGTTATATGTATTGAAATTGATAAAAATTATTTCTGATACACTACATAGTGGTAATATTCTGTATTTAATAACAGAAACGGACTATTTTCGTGCGGACAAAAGTTAAGAAACCATATATCGACAATGTTGTTTCTCTCGATAGGTCACTGTTTTCCATTTCTCTTTTGTTTCATATTGACGCCTAGTCAGTTACATGTATAACATCAAACGTGACACAACGATTTAGTTGTTATAAAAATGGCAAGTAGGTTCACTACAATGAAGTAGTAACAAAAATTGCACAACGATTTCAACAAAGTAATACTGTTAAAACCAGTGAAAGTATGGATCGTGGAATTGTGAAATGTTGAAAAATTAATCCATTTTTATAAAACTTTGACAAATTAGCACCAAGACTATAAGTCGTCGATTGCGTGAAAATAATCTATTTGCATGTAAAGCAGCAAAGAAACCGTATATTTCAGCAAAAAACAAAAAGTCACGATTAGAGTTTGCTAAGGAGCATATTAATTGGACAGATGATCAATCTGTTCGATAACGATGCTAGAAACAACGTGAGACGACCGCCTGTCCACAAAGGTTTAATATTAATAACCAACAGTCAAATTTGGAGGTAGAAATGTCATGGTATGGGTTTGCTTTTCGATTAACGGTACTGGTCCATTGATCCAAATTACAGATACTATGGACAGATTTTTATATCGAAATATATTGCAAAATCATATGGTACTACATATTTGCAAGAGAAAAATTGCGCGTGGATTGGTCATTTCAACACGATAACGACCCTAAACGTGCTTCCAAGTTAGAAAAAGAGTTTTTAGCGGAAGAAAATGTTAACGTTATCAAGTCAGTCACCAGATTTAAATCTTATAGTGCACATGTGGGACAAAAATATGGTCGGAAATCCCAATAGAAGTTTGTACAAAATTAATAAAGTCGAACTAACTATCGAACAATATCTATCGAACTAATTACCGAGCGACTGCTTTATTTCTTAACTTTTGTCGGTAAGTGTAGTTGCATGGATTCGCGACCACCCTCCTCTACCACATCCTGTTGTACGTAATCACATGTGACGATGACGCGTCGTCAGTCGGGCAAACCGGCGGCGGGTGGTCGTGTAATAACCTAAAGATTCTTGAAATTCTTCGCACCGATAGATCATCAAGCGTGTCAGACGATCTTACACTGCGCTCAACTTCAATTCCAATTGCTCCACATTTGATATACCTACCATTTCAGATACCTACATATACCGAACGATGCGCCGGAAATGTTGTGTAGTATCGTAGCATATAGCGAGATAGTAACGATAGCAGTAGTAAGAGACGTCTGCGAATGCACTTTTTTTCGCACGGCAAAGCACACCGGGCTTCTTTTTCAGAATGTTTCTTTTGCATAGATATTACATAGTTCTATATATATACATATACATATATGTATATGTATTGTGTATGTATGTATATATGTATATATACTATATATGTTAAAGGATAGTTGTGTTAAACGCGTGTACCTCGTGTCGAATCGCGATCGTGTTATTCTGGTACTTTTAGTGGTTGTGACTATGCCGCTACACCTGTTTGTTTTAGAGGCCCTGGCTAGTATGGGGTACACGAGAAGCGAAATAGAGGATTCCTTAGGACAAGCAAAGTACGATGACGTGTTCGCCACGTACTTACTCTTAGGAAGAAAGACAACCGATGTGAGTAGACGGAGAATCGGCGAATTCGGTCGTACGCGCGTGTGTAGTATACTGTTCGAGTATCGTCGTCGCGTGACGTCGTCGCGTGGTCGGTGAGTGAGTGTCGGTGTAATTAAAATGGTTCGTTTCGTAGTGTGAATCGGACGGCTCGCGGTCAGGCAGTTCATTGTCGCTGCGCAACATTCCACCGCAAGCTAGTTCGGGCGGCGGCGGCGGAGGCGGCGGCGGTGGAGGAGGAGGCGGAGGAAGCGGAGGAGGCACGGGTGGCGCCGTGCAGAGTCCTTCGCACAGAGGTGTTCACAGAAGTATTTCCGCTAGCAATCCAAAACCAAGTAGACGAGTTTCGTCCGGTCTTGAAACGCTTAGTAAGTGATGAATGCCGTCTTCTCTCTCTTCGTCCGAACCTAGACCATCTCTCCTTCGAATTACGCTTCTCTATACCGTACTCTCACGGCCTGCCTGCCTACCTACCTGCCTGTCTCGTACTAATCAACCGGACGGACGGGGACGGTGTCGATCCAGTTCACCGGCAAACATTTTCAAACACGAGTACCGATTTCACGACGACCTATCTCGTCGTCGTCGTCGTCGTCGTCGTAGTCGTAGTCGTAACGAAACTCACACGTCATCCGGACTAAATCGGTGGTCTGTGTTTTTCAGTGAGAATTTCCCCTCGACTACCTTTGCCCAGGCTAAAGGATTCATTATTACCAGAATATTCATAGGAGAACGATTAGTAACGATTAAGCGGACTTTGTTTCTCGCCTGCCTCCTTTTATTCCTGTTTCGTAAACGACGTTTACCTTGTTAGGAGGAGCACCGAGCCCAGGAAACGCAACGAACCATAATCACGCGACTGCTACGACTGGCGGAACAGTGACTGGAAGCAGCGGTAGTAATTTTAAGCGACAAAATACCGTGGACGCGGCCACGATCAAGGAGAACAGTGCTCGTGTTTCCGCGAGCCGACCTTCCGCACCCAAAAACAGCCCTGGCCAATTAGATACTAGTGAGTTTTTTTTCGTTATCCCGTAACTTTTTACCAACGTAATCCAAAGGATACTTTTTGTGTTTTGCGGCGCTGTACTTGTGTGTGTTAAGCTTCAGCAAACGTATATCTGCTTTGGATAAGGTTGCCGTGATTCGTACCCCAAACTTTCCATTAATTCGTCATTTATACGTTCCTTCTTTCCTTACCCCCACTCTCTCCAATTCGTTTTCCATTCTTCTTTCTTTATGTCACGTTACATCTGCTCCTAATTTGTAAACTCTAGATGGTTGTAGTCCGTTTCTAGAGAAAACGGAATCATCGTGCCTACATATGTATATCGCGTTTCGAAGACATGTGAACCGTTAAAGGATTTATACGCGAGTACTCCGTACGTGCGTGCCTACCATTAATCTAGAGTTTAAAGTTTCCGATCGTACGTGTATCTGCCTATCTGATTGCCGTGGTAGAGAATTTTTATCGCACGTTTCCTACCTCTTATCGTTTATTTTCCTTGAGAGAAAACGTTCCGATTCTCCTTTTAGATGAAAAAGCAGATGAGACGTTGCACGATCGTTCACGCGTATTCAATCCCTATTCTCTTTTTTCTTTATGTGTGTTTTTTTTGTGTGTGTGTACGTGTCTTTTTGAACATTTTTTTAATGAAAATATATATATATATATATATACGCATACACACACTACACATATGCCTGTTATAATTTGGTAAAGTTACGCTGCTTTGTTTTGTGTTGAACTATTATCTAATGAGGCTTGCAGTGACAATGTTCATTCTAGGCGTGGGTACAAGTCCCGGTGGTAGGGCATGGGCAGGCAAGAGCAACACGATGAATGCAGGGGTAGGTGGTGGTCGGCCTCTCACCTCACCTGCCCCTGGTTCTGTTGGTCGACGTAGTACCATCTCCTATGATCAAGCGAAAACGTCCTCCTCGTCTACCGAAAGAACCAACGACGCACCCAGGTATAGTGATATCCAATTCTTTCACAGACCGTACATATCGATTTAAAATAGGTTTTTCATCTTGTTACGATACATAAAATAGAAAAAAGAAATGGCAAAGAGAGAAAGTCGCAGAAAAGAAATCTCCTCTTTCTCCAGCGTCACGTGTCTAATAACTCGTCGAACGATCTGTTTTTTCTTTTTCTTTCTATTTTTTCTCTCGTTCTTTCTATGCAGAAAGAATGAAAATGACGGGTAAAAAATATAGCGCGATCAATTGTCTTGGAGTAAGTATCGGAAATTATCGTCGCAACTACGATCCAGTGATCTGCTGCACCGATCGAGCCAATGAATTTCTGAACGTACACACAAATACCTTCGGTTCGTGATCACCTGGTACACCTGGTGTGTGTGTGTATATATAAATATATATACATACATACCTTATTATGCAGTGGCTCGTTGACTAAAACTAAAACAGAGTTTTTTCGTTGTACCGACTACTAACCAGCCCTATATAGGTGTGATTGACGTTCGATTCCCCGGGTGTGAAGCGTGTACGGGAAACGGATGATAAAAGAACAAGTGAAAAGAGAAAGCAAAGTTCGATAAGAGGAATCTGTCATTATAAGCCCCAGGGAATTTCTTTGTTTGTTGCGTTGCTCTAGCATGTTGGCTGCTGCCTGCCAATCGTTCATTGCAGACCACTTTCTTTATGGCTTGACAGATCTACCGAAACAAATAGTTCTAATCAAACGTGTATACATATACAAATGCTTGCTAAAATGATACCGAACCACAGTTACATTCACATGTCTCTTTACTCTGTTTTTTACCAGCGTATGTCTAGATTTACAAGCGTGTGTGTATAAAAACAGCCATTAACATCATCATACATACGTCACTGTTTATGTTTTAGCGTCATATTCTGTTTCCCTTATCGTAGAATGTCTCGCGTGCTACTATTGTTCGTAACACGAGATAGAATTTTCATTTACATCCGTCCACCTTCCTCCCCTCCCCTCCCCTCGCCCCTCGCCCTTCGCCCTTCACCGCACCTCACTCCCCCATGCCGCATCCTTTTCCTCTCTGCCGTTCAACGAATTCGATCGCATCCTTGTATGTGTATATATACACACCTTGTATATGTATATGTACATATATCTACATTTACAGTACGCGAGTAACGTAGATGGTTCTGAACGCGCGGAACAACATCCGGTATTATATAGTTGATTCGTTGATTTCCCTCTGACTGACACCCCGTCTCCACCATCTCTCTCTCTCTCTCTCACTCCTCTTTCTCAATCTCTGCCTCGTTTTTTCTCGCTCACTCGGATCCCCCAGTTCCCCATTTTTTCTTTCTTCTCTAGCCTTTGAAAAAGTTTACAGAGGAAGAAAACGTTCGTACTTGTCGCGGAAGAAGAACGAGTAAAGAAAAAAGTGACGGTTACGCATCGGGATTACCTAGCTTTCGCTACGCAATTCCGATACGCGTCGCGAGTAGGGTAGAAAAAAGAAAGAAAGTAAAGATGGTGTTACGGGAATAGGTGTACCTATATAGAAAGTGTAGAAGAAAAAAGAGTAGGGCCGGGCAGTTTGTTGATTAGTTTTGTACACAGCCTTGGCGAGGGCACTAGACCAACGCGGGGTCACACCAAGTCTGCGAGCATCAGCGCAGGTCACCGTTCCTCAAGTGGCGTACCCCCCAGCGACCATTCACTACTGGACCCTCAACCACGCAACGCCCACAACTCCTTACTCGCCACTGCTGACCCTCTTAGACAGAGGTACAGGTCCCCAAAGCCTTATCAGCCAACCTGTATACACTCCTCTACTAGATGTGCCACAAAAGTCTAACGTGCTCCCTCTACCGACCGCGATACTCTTCTCCTTCCCTCATCCTCCTCCTCCTCCTCCTCCTCCTCCTTCGAATCTTCTCGATACGCGTACCGGCGATAATTTAATCACGAACAGTCGGTAGAATTCCACGCTAGGCTATTGGAGCACCGTGTACTGCGACAGATTTTTCATTTCATTTATTTATTGGGCCACTAACTTTCTTAGGGTAACTAAAACCTCTTTTTCGAATACATACACGTATACTACGTTGCGAAACATCTTATTCGCTATCCTCTTTAGGTTCTCTAGGACAGTTTCTGGTCATTCACGTATTCATTTCTTTCTTATGGTTTTTCTTTCTAATCTGCATGACTGTCATGTCGTTAGTTTTCCATTTGGATCATCGGCTTTGGTCACCTTTTTCTCATTTCTTTCAACCACCTTGTTTCTCGCATACCTGTTAATATTATATTACGTAAGTAGCTCTCTGCTACGATTACGATCACCGCGCCAACGCGGACATCAATCTACATTCGCTTTCGACACTCTCGTCTCCCGACACGTTCAGCAGAGAAAAGCGGCGTCAGCTTCTTTATATATATATATATATGTACGATATGTATGAATAGTCTTTTCCAGAACAGTAATATATACGTTGAAACGTCGAGTGTTCAGATACAATCTTCGCGATATTATCGAGATCCTATCGAATGAAATTTTCAACAAGATCCACCTTTTCAAAGTCGATTCGTTTCTCTTAGAACGTATGCATTTCATCGTGTGTAAGCGAATAGAGCAGACCAACTCGAAATAACCGTACGTTCTATCGACGCATGCGCAAACAAATGCAAATTATTTCAATACATACTATATACATATATACGTATCTTTCATATATATATGCGTATAGACGACTATCATTTAACTCCCATTAGCGTAAACTAATTTGTTTAAAGTTCCGCTTTCTTAGCTCAGACTGTCGAAGCTTGTTTTTGCAAGACGTAGAAGGAACGCTTGGGCATTATGTACTCTCTTACAACTAGCCCCCTGATCAACGCCATCAACAGAAGTTGCGCGAACAACCAACATTTTTTTCTTTTTACCTATACATCCTATTTTTTAGTTTGCATTCTGTCTTTTGCTTCTTCTCTAACGAAACATATACGAAATGAAAAAAAAAAAACGAAGAATCTCTTGTATC